AATGGAGATAGAGGAGAGCCTTATACAAGTCCATTTTTAAACCAAATTTTCCTCTATTTTTTAGTTGGGTCTATCAAAATATCTTTAAGATTACATTCCTCTTATGAACTCAATTTCAGCTTCATCTAGTATTTTTCTCTATTTTCAGCTTATATTATGACTAATCATTTTTGTATAATGTTAAAATAATTTTACTATTGAATAGATGCCAAAATAGAAATCTAAACTATAATATTTGTTTTTAAATTATATAATAAATAAGGTGTTAGGTAATCATTTACTACTTTAGTGGATATCTTCTTTAATTTTTATGAATTCTATATTTGATCAATAAACTTTAAGTAATTAAAAATCTTTGAGATAAAATTTAAATAAGCTAATCCAAAATGTTCAAAGTAGGTATATAAATTATATGGAAGTTAGGTGTTAAAGTATTAGTTTAATTAAGCATATTTTACTATCATCTAATAAATTACCAAAAACTTTAACCCACAAAAATTGAACCTCAAATAAAGAAGAGTGTAAAAGTACTACTCTTTTGTTGCTTATTGCTCTTAAGCAACAGTAATATTATCTATGTAGATCAATTTTGGTATAAGACAAGAGATTTCTGTTTCTATCTAAGAGTAACCTTCATTTGAATAAATGAGTGAGCTATTTAACAATTTGATCAATAAGTTTTCGTCTTGTGACCTCCTAAAAAGGATGTTGATCATCAAAGTAAATTCAGATTAATTAAATTCATTTATTAGCTAATTTATACTAATCATTTCAACCACATTTAGCAAACTTTCCAAGATGAAATTCCTCATCCTGAACTTTTTTGTAATTTTTCACATTTATATAAACAGTTCCTTTTAATTCATCTCCATAATACCCTGTTTCTCAAAATTAACATTTATGATTTTTTTTTAAATTTACAATGTTTGGCTTAATAAATGCATTCCATTAAATTTAATTTTTAAAAGAATTCAGTTGGCATTTAATGCATTAGTTGAACAATTTAATTAAACCAAGAATAGTTATCGCAATTAAAATAAGCATAATCTTTACAAACTTAATATGTTATTATAGAGATATCTCACTTATGGCATTAATTCTATTCTCCATAGTATCCAACTTCAAAATGCCCAAGGTTAACTTAATAGTTCGATCTACAAATTACAAATTGTTCAGATAATTCGTTACAAATTAAACAATTTTAATAACATCAAATTACTAATCCATCTGATAAAAACCATTAAAAAAATTCATAACAATGAAATAAATTACCCCAAAGGAATACATGTTTAAGATTATCTAAATTCATTTATTAAGTATCCATATTAGCAAATTACATAACTTGCTTCATTACAAACATTTTACAAGCCTATAAACATATTTTAACAATATATGCAAAGGTTTGAAAAGCTTTGGAAAGATTTATCATCGATATTTCATCTACTATAGATATATTTGTCACTTTTTATCTTTTGAGAGATTTTGCATCTAATCAAATAATATGGAAAAGTTTTTAATATATTGGAAATTATTACATTTATATTCACTTATGAATACCTACATAACTTATATGAAACATTTCCTAGCAATATGATTTAATTCTGATGTTAAATAATCATTTAGAATTGAATCAAATAGGAAAAAATTTTCATAACCTTTAATGTACTTCTATTTAATGAAAACCAAACAAATGATTATGAATAAAAATTATTGATTTAAGTATTTAAAATAAAGAGTATATATTTAAATAATAGCCAAAATATCATATTTAGTCTACTATTATTAGTTTTGTACTGATAAAACTAAGAGATATATCAAATAATTGAATAGTATTTATAAGTTTAAGAAATTATCGGAGAGATTGCAAGAAAAATCTAAGTTACCTTTAAATAAAAAATTTAATGATTCTAAATTTAACAATAGAAAAAGTTTGTATATTCTTTTAGATTGGTTTTTTTTGAATAATAATAAAATATTAAACTTTTCTCTTTTAAATTCATTGTCATTATAATGTTCTAAGTTCGCTGATTTTCTAAGAAATATGATTTTAATAATCATGGTTTAATGATAATGCAATTTTATACTATTTTATGGCTTAAGAGATTTGGTTCAAATTTGTTAATGAAATTGCTTAATGATATTTAATATAAAACCTTTCTTAATATAGGTATAAAATTAATCTTGAGCAAGTAGAATCGCCTTATTATAGCTGATTATTGCTTGTTCNTATTTGATCAATAAACTTTAAGTAATTAAAAATCTTTGAGATAAAATTTAAATAAGCTAATCCAAAATGTTCAAAGTAGGTATATAAATTATATGGAAGTTAGGTGTTAAAGTATTAGTTTAATTAAGCATATTTTACTATCATCTAATAAATTACCAAAAACTTTAACCCACAAAAATTGAACCTCAAATAAAGAAGAGTGTAAAAGTACTACTCTTTTGTTGCTTATTGCTCTTAAGCAACAGTAATATTATCTATGTAGATCAATTTTGGTATAAGACAAGAGATTTCTGTTTCTATCTAAGAGTAACCTTCATTTGAATAAATGAGTGAGCTATTTAACAATTTGATCAATAAGTTTTCGTCTTGTGACCTCCTAAAAAGGATGTTGATCATCAAAGTAAATTCAGATTAATTAAATTCATTTATTAGCTAATTTATACTAATCATTTCAACCACATTTAGCAAACTTTCCAAGATGAAATTCCTCATCCTGAACTTTTTTGTAATTTTTCACATTTATATAAACAGTTCCTTTTAATTCATCTCCATAATACCCTGTTTCTCAAAATTAACATTTATGATTTTTTTTTAAATTTACAATGTTTGGCTTAATAAATGCATTCCATTAAATTTAATTTTTAAAAGAATTCAGTTGGCATTTAATGCATTAGTTGAACAATTTAATTAAACCAAGAATAGTTATCGCAATTAAAATAAGCATAATCTTTACAAACTTAATATGTTATTATAGAGATATCTCACTTATGGCATTAATTCTATTCTCCATAGTATCCAACTTCAAAATGCCCAAGGTTAACTTAATAGTTCGATCTACAAATTACAAATTGTTCAGATAATTCGTTACAAATTAAACAATTTTAATAACATCAAATTACTAATCCATCTGATAAAAACCATTAAAAAAATTCATAACAATGAAATAAATTACCCCAAAGGAATACATGTTTAAGATTATCTAAATTCATTTATTAAGTATCCATATTAGCAAATTACATAACTTGCTTCATTACAAACATTTTACAAGCCTATAAACATATTTTAACAATATATGCAAAGGTTTGAAAAGCTTTGGAAAGATTTATCATCGATATTTCATCTACTATAGATATATTTGTCACTTTTTATCTTTTGAGAGATTTTGCATCTAATCAAATAATATGGAAAAGTTTTTAATATATTGGAAATTATTACATTTATATTCACTTATGAATACCTACATAACTTATATGAAACATTTCCTAGCAATATGATTTAATTCTGATGTTAAATAATCATTTAGAATTGAATCAAATAGGAAAAAATTTTCATAACCTTTAATGTACTTCTATTTAATGAAAACCAAACAAATGATTATGAATAAAAATTATTGATTTAAGTATTTAAAATAAAGAGTATATATTTAAATAATAGCCAAAATATCATATTTAGTCTACTATTATTAGTTTTGTACTGATAAAACTAAGAGATATATCAAATAATTGAATAGTATTTATAAGTTTAAGAAATTATCGGAGAGATTGCAAGAAAAATCTAAGTTACCTTTAAATAAAAAATTTAATGATTCTAAATTTAACAATAGAAAAAGTTTGTATATTCTTTTAGATTGGTTTTTTTTGAATAATAATAAAATATTAAACTTTTCTCTTTTAAATTCATTGTCATTATAATGTTCTAAGTTCGCTGATTTTCTAAGAAATATGATTTTAATAATCATGGTTTAATGATAATGCAATTTTATACTATTTTATGGCTTAAGAGATTTGGTTCAAATTTGTTAATGAAATTGCTTAATGATATTTAATATAAAACCTTTCTTAATATAGGTATAAAATTAATCTTGAGCAAGTAGAATCGCCTTATTATAGCTGATTATTGCTTGTTCATATTATTTTTAATCATTTAAAGTTATACCTATAATCCTCATAGAGTATTTACCTCTATAAAGATATGCATTTGAATCATTCGGATTAAGTTGGATTGCTTGATTATAATCATTTAATGCTTTGTCTTTCTCACCAATACTGCTATATAAAATGCCTAATATATTAAGTGTAATAATATTCACCTCTTTTATTATAGGCTGATACATATTTTGGATCAATTTGGATTGCTTGATTATAATCATTTAATGCTTTGTCTTTCTCACCAATACATTTATATAAAATGCCTAATATATTAAGTGTAATAGTATTCACCTCTATTAATATAAGCATATTCATTTTTTGGATCAATTTTGATTGCTTAATTATAGTCATTTAATGCTTTGTCTTTCTCACCAATATCTTTATATATATTGCCTTATATATTTAATTATATTTTAATCACCTCTTACATTATAGGCAGATGAATAATTTGGATCAATTTGGATTGCTTGATTATAATCATTTAATGCCTTCTCTTTCTCACCAATATCATCATATAAATTGCCTAATATATTAAGTGTAATAGTGTTCACCTCTATTATAAAAGGCTACTGCTAATTTCGAGTCAAGTTGAATGGCTTGAGTAAAGTCATTCAATGCTTTGTCTTTCTCACCAATTTCTTCATAAAAATTGCCTACTATATAAGTGTATAGTTTTCACCTCTTACAATATAGGCTAATGAATAATTTGGATCAATTTGGATTACTTAATTATAGTCATTCAATGCTTTATCTTTCTCACCAATCTGTTCATATAAAATGCCTACTAAATTAAGTGGAATAGTATTCACCTCTATTATTATAGGCAGATACACATTTTGGATCAATTTGGATTACTTGATTATAATCATTCAATGCTTTGTCTTTCTCACCAATACAGTTATATAAACAACCTAATATATTAAGTATATTAATATCACCTCTGTTATAGAAGACCATTGCATCATTCGGATCAAGTTGGATTACTTAATTATAGTCATTCAATGCTTTGTCTTTCTCACCAATATCATAATATAAAATGCCTACTAAATTAAGTGGAATAGTATTCACCTCTATTAAAATAGGCTTATTCACATTTCTCATCAAGTTAGATTGCTTGATTATAGTCATATAATGCTTTGTCTTTCTCACCAATATCATAATATAAATAGCCTAATATATTAAGTAGAATACTAAAACCTCTGTAAGAGTAGGCTATTGAATATTTAGGATCAAGTTGAATTGCTTGATTATAGTCATTCAACGCTTTGTCTTTCTCACCAATCTCTTCATATAAAATGCCTACTATATTAAGTGGAATAGAAATAACCTCTGTTTATATAAGTTAAATTATATTTAGGATTTATTTCAATGGCTTTTTTGAAATCTCTAATTGCATAATCAGTCAATTTTTCATTCATATAATACTAACCTAATATGATAATTATGATTTTACCTCTACACATAAATGCATAATAACAATTCCTATCTTTTTCTATAGCATCATTGTAATATTTTAGTTCATTATCCTTTTGCTTCAATTCACTCAAAATAGTGCCTGAAGATTTATGGTTATTTTATTACCCATTCTACAATAGCCCATTGAAAAGTCTTTATTAATTTCCACACATTTCATACAATCTTATATTGCTTGATCATATAATTATTTTCTCCAATAAATTGTTGCTTAAGCTATAAGATTTAATAAATACCTCTTTAATAATAACTTTCTGGATCATTATTGTTTATGGATATGCTTTAATTGGCATCTTCCAATGCCTTATCATATAATTTCATTTTTTCGTATAATTCACCTATATTGATATTTAAAACATTGAACTTCTTAAAGTGTAGGCTTTGGCAAATTTAGGATGAAGATTCAAAGCATTATTTATTTCTAATAATGCTTCTTCAGTTCTATAAGTAATTTTTAATTCCTAAAAACGATTCCACTAAATAATTGTACCTAGCTTTTATTATAATGCTCTAACGCACCAGCATTCTCGTTTTCCTTTTAACTTTTATCGATCATTATTGATTTTAGAGATGTATCCAAATTTTTTTTATAAATAAATAATAACATTTAGGGATTCCTCACCTAACTTAATATCAAAGTTCCAATGAAAAAAAATAAATATTTTACATTTATAATATTTGAAAAGCCCAATAGAAATATATTTTGGATTGTTTCG